TGCCATTACCACTTTAAAATATAAGATTGTTTGTTTTCTTGATCGTCGACTAGGAAATTAATTAAAATTGAAACTTCTATACCTTCCTTTATACTATTTCGTCAGTAATATTTTACTGCATTATTCTTTTCCATAAAGATCAATTCATAGAATCATTAAATACAATGTCATATAAGGTGTTTGAATCGCTATATTATACTGCACAGATTGAATTTTAACTTTTCTCAACTCTTACACATCGTTTTAAACTCATACTTTCACTATCTCTAGCAAATTTTATTAGTAGAACGCACTTTGTCCGAAGTCCTCTGCCATAATAGTTTCCATTATTCCCAGCATCAAGCAGTGGACTTGGTGCCTTCTCAAACGTTTCGCTGGCATCGTAGTCGGCATCATCAGTGAGTGCTGCCATTCTCCGCATCAAGCTACGAACTCGTAAAAAGCGACAAGTGACGTTTTCTACCAACGTTGGTGCGGAATATGGCAGCACTCACTGATGATGCCGACTACGATGTCGGCGAAATGTTCGACAAGGTACCAAGTTCAGTCTGATGTTGGGAATTATGATAATAACTATGGCAGAGGACTTCGGACTAGGTGCGTTCTACTAAGTCCCCCGGAATAAGAGACCAAGATGCGACAACGAGGTCAACCCACTTCTCCTTATATGACTTATCACAATCTATTTTAGTATATTTAGTTCCTTCTTGAATTACTTTCAAAAAGGACAGCATATAATTCGGACCCCGGAATGCTTGCTGATTTCCTATTTTAATGCACTATTCTTTATTTTGATATTTGTTTCATTTTTTAATAATTAACTTTTATTGATTTTGCAACATTAACCTCTATTTTCCACATTTCATATAGATTTTCTCTTGACCTAAATTGGCATTCTCTTAAATCCTTTTCTAAACTTTTTAAATACTAAATCCTATTCTTCTAGCTACTCAAAATTTATTATCTCACCGTCACATTACGGTTGCAAATCCTTATGCTCTCTCTACCTTATTCTCTTTAAAGTGCTACGTTTGTATTTATTTGTTTCTTTTTTATATACTGGAAAAATAAAGTCTCTAGTTTGAAGCATTTTTATCTAATCTTTTTATAGTTAAACCCAATTGATCGAGAGATACTCGCGCATCGCATTCTTAATCCTGATCCCATTGTTCCTCCAGCATCCCCATTCGTCTATCCGCCTCCAGTTACACCGACCAATACGCTAAGTATATTGCAGCCCACGTCATTAAAGTCGCGTAAATCGGGAGTTAGACCACAATCTGCATCTGTTATGTCAGATGCTGGGTGCATGTATAGTTCCGTGTAAGTTAATTATCTTTCAATAACGTCTTATATTTGCAGCATACATTTAATTTTTTTCCTTTATAATTTCTTAGACCTTGTTTTCGTTATTTGGTTATATTGGTAAGAATACCTAGAGGAGCACACCTTGTTTGGAGCCCATCCACAGGCTTTCTTTTCCATACTGAAAAGTATTCATCTATATATCAAACAAATAATTTAAGGAATTAAAGTGCCTCTTTAATTAGACGTTCCTTAAATTTAGTGATGCAGTTATTTGCTAAAATTGGTGGCAAACACGATCCCATAACTAATCCTAGTGTTTCTTACAGTTCACCATTAACGGGAAAATATTTATGTGCATCGCCAGATTTGTCAATTCTATTTTTGATAATTCGCTTCTAAAAATCACTGGGTATTAGTTTAACTTTTATCGCAGAGCTTTTGAAGCCTTATCTTTATTACTCTTAGTATAGATAGACACAACATCAAAACCTTACAAGCAGAACCTCACTTTCTATCTCATGCACGTCACCTAAGTTAACGCATTCATAATTATTTTAATTGTATGTTAATCATGCAATTTGACTGCAAACACCGGTATTGCTCCAAGAGGGGACTTCATAAAGTAATCAAATCCGGAAATAATAATCTTTTTCCAGTCTCATCACAACTACAATGACCTAATGGCACTCGTAGCAATGTGGGGTAGTGGTTAGTATATCAAATTTACACGCTGGATTGTCATGTTTCGATTCTCGCTTGGGGTGTTAATAAGACCTATGCGAGGTCGAAACTGTACTTCACCTAAGATGAGAACCTCTTTTGTGAAGGCAAGGTCATGTGAAATTCAATGGAAAATATCAGCTCTACTTATATCATTGTGGCTAAATTCAACTACCAGTCCCAAATCACCTTAAATGAATTAGGACAAGCACAACAAAGAGGAAACGTCAACACTGAGCTTATTCAAATCAAGTAGAACTATCACTTTTGGGAGTCGCCACGCAAGAGACTTTGGCATAAGAAAGTCATATAATTAGCATTGGGTATAGACTTGCGAAACAAAAGGTAGTGACCATCCACTCTAGCTGGGGTGTTGATAAGACCTAGGCGAGGTCGAAACTGCAGTCCACTATGGATGAGAACAACTTTTGGGGGAGCAGGGCTATGTGAAATACAATGGAAACGTCAGCTCTACTCATACCATTGTGAAAAATTCAACTCCTAGTCCTTCAACACCTTAAACAAAATATAGTGATTACATCTCATATTAGTAGATAAGTCTGTTCATATGCGTGGTCCATTTAGTAAAGGCTTGACCACGAGACTTATTCAATAAACATGCCCCACAGTGTTAAGGAACTTACAACATCAAGTTAGGTTGTCATTTCAACTGAGAATCCGGACTGTAAAGGCCTACTCAGTCAGGCGAGTGTATACATTCTTTCAAATGCTTGATACAGAGTGTAGAAAATAATGCATTGAGTAGTGCGGATACCGTGGCAGCAATGAAGTGAAATCACTGAAACAGCCAGATAAGCAAAGTATCCTACGGAGCAAGAGATGGACTCTGATAGGACATGAAGAGAGATTATTGCGGATTAAACCACAGCCTTTGATCAACACTAGGCACAGTGGAAGGGATGTGGAAACCAGCGGGCAGTATGAATAGGTTTAAATAAGCAAGTAAGAAAGTATAATGAAGGGGTGATACGAGGATATATAATATGTTTATATCCACCGGTCTTCCTGCCAATATGACCAAGTTGCGTAAACAATTTCAAAGATTTTTATGCAACGATAATTGTCCATGGCCATACAAAAGGCCACACCATCTTGGTCTTCATATCTTCTTTATCTTTCTATTTATAAAATTACATTTCGCCTTAATAACATGCATCTAGGAGATTTTTATTTTATGTCTCTTTATATTCATCTGCACATACTTTTTGTGTGCATGCGTTAATAGGAATATCATCTCAACCATTATCCACCTACCCATTAACTAATTCATTATACCTTGTCACGAACTTTTTATTTCATTTATACGTTTCAGATCTCGCGTTTCTCACGCATTTCTTCAGGCAACCCATCCTCCTGAGGCTCCTCGTTGCCTTTTTAGGTTATTTAGTCAACTTAGCTTAACAGAATTACAATCTGTTCCCGCCGACATCTCCCCTGGATCTTCTAGTGATTCCACTTATGTGGGCCACAAAAGGAACATGATCAATGATCTTCATGATCGACTGAATAGTGAACTACTTCTGCTGATTTGGTCAGCAGGCCTTATGCCAGTTCCACCCTCTGAGATAGTGAGTTCCGCCAAAATTTCTGGCCCTTTTGATGAGACCTCACCACATGAACTCCCAGCTCCCAAACTGTGTCTCGTTCCTGTGGATGATTCTCCTACAAAATCATTTGCTAACCTCGATTTACTTACAGGCGTCCAGTATCAGCGCGTTTGGTTTATATTTGAGCGGATGCTTGGCTCACGTCTTAGTTGGGCTGATAGATTTAACTACGTGGTTCGTGCAATTGTCGATTTGGATGGTCTGATTTACGGTTAGCGTATAATTTTTTTACATTCGCAATGTACACCACCATTATTAATATTTTTCTATATCTCTTAATAACTTTTTGTTTTTCGACGACGATTTTAACCTTTAATATTTTTTTTAACGACAGCATGAAGTGGTATAGCATCAATTCTTATTCTAAATTTCTCCTATTGCCTTATTCTTATTTTAACTATCCTCTTGTGTAGGCAAGCTTAATAATTGACATTTTTTACTATCAATATTATTTTTACATCAGCATTTTTTTAAAATATTATTTTACGAACTAATTTGCAGAAGGAAGTATGCGCAAATTACTTGTGCCCTTTGTAAATTTGATAGCTGCTGGCTTAACGCGTCAAATCCTTTGGTTAGCGTTTAATTTGGTTCCTAGCCTACGAAATACCGGGCATCCCGCCTTTCAGACAGATCTTTTGGATGCGAGTGACCATGATATTCTCTTCAATTCCAATCCTTCTGCATTCACCTCTATAGCTTCGACAAAGGATGATTTTTGTGTCAACCTTAATGAGCCTGCTTCATCCCAGCAAAAGTTAAATTTTCATACGGCATCATCTCGGTCTTTTGCTGTAAACAAGCCAACATCACTTTCTACTTGCCTTCGCCATCCTGAGCTTACTTGTCGTGTGGATTGTCTTCTCATTGCCGTTGTTGAACTTTTATTTGGTGTCAGTTCTCTCTATTTTAAATCGTTATTATTGTACGTCTAGCTACATTTTAACTTATTTAGAGCTCCCTATCAACGTTTCTTAG